ACCGCATTTGGATCCGCTCGCGTCTTAACTTTGACCTTGGCGTCAACTTCCTTGCGATAGGAATGTGCAGATTGGGCAACCGAAGGAACAATGCTCGCCGGGAGTGAAGTCGTCGATGCGCCGTGCCCATGTGGATCCAGTCTGTTCCCGCTACTGGGTGATTTGGTCCCAGCTGGGGACTTGACACTCGTAACCGGAGATTTGGGATTGACAGGAGTGGAAGGCGCTGGTGTTGGCGAGGTGGCTGGGGTAGTAAACTCTGGAACGGGTGATACAACGTCAAGAGCCTCAAGATCATCCTTGATCTCCGCTCCTTCCTCTGCGGTCGTCTTCTTCTTCGGTTTCTTCTTTTTCTTTTTCTTCTTCTTCTTATCCTCGGCTAGACAGCAACAAGTTAGACATACTAAGGTTGTGGGCTTGGAGATTCAGACGACTTACTACCGCCTTCCTCTTCGTCATCGGCATCCTCCACCGTCATACCTGGAGGAGCCTGCTTCTTGCTTGCTTCTGCATTACCCGCTGCCGCCGCTGCAGGGGCTTTATTGGGTGTAGGAGCCGTAGCCGTAGCGGCAGCGGGTGGCGGGGGTCTAGGTGGACCATAGACTGGCTTTTCTCCCATCTTCGGTGGGCGGAACGTCGGATCGGGATTGAACATACGGCCTTCGAGTACTCAGCAAATCAATTCAACGGAAGAACAGGATCCCTACTCACCAGCAAACGACCGAAGCATCTTCATAAACGGGTTTGCTTTCATACTGTTGGGAACCTCTTTACTAAGGTCTTCGCTTGCATCCGTCCACGGAGGTAATTTCCCCCCTCTGCGTTGATAATCCATAGCCTGGGAAAGCAGGAATCGCATCGTTTCAGCTTCCCGCCCCTCCCACTCACTCTCATCGTCCTCTTCCTCTTCCTCTTCCTCCTCCTCTTCTTCAGATGAAGATTCGTCCAAGAATTCATCGTCCGACGATTCAGAGACGGACATGAGTCCAGGCATGCCTTCGAATTCGCTGCCATCGTCTTCTTCATCCTGCGTAATGGCTTTGCGTGGACGTGGACCATCAGGTTTACGAAAGCGCTTCTTCTGTCGTACAAGAGCGCTCTTGTCCTTTCTTTTCTTTTCCGCACGCCGACGCTCTGCATTGGGGAGGGTAAAGGACTTTGGGTCCTCGGAATCACTAGGAATATCCGCCCCATATGCGACTTCCTCGGGAATGAACCAAGTAGAATATTGTGGTTTGGCTTGTCGTTCGCTTTCGAGTTGCCAAAGAGCGTCTATGGAATGACCTGTCTCGTCAACGTAGACCTACACTCTTGTAAATCCTCATGAATGGAAGAACTAACAAATGCTCACCGTGTTGACTTGCCTCCACAAATCTTCCAACTGAGCTGGACTCTTTGTCTTCTTCAGCGGATATACCCGAGCCTGCCAGCGGTCGTATTTTCCACTAGCCTTGAGACTTTGCGCGATTGTTTCGAAGAATTCGTCAATCTCTCCAGCGGCTGCCTTCCTGGGCATCTTCAACCATTCGTCTTGTTCATAGAGCGGGCCGAGGAGCATGTCCTTCATCTCCACAAGCGCGACAAAGTTGCCAAGAGCATCGAAGACGTTTTGCGAAAACTTTTTCGCTTCTTCGCGAGGTGTCGTCTCGAGTGCATCACGCAACACTGCGCTGAGAATATATGGTTCATACCGCGAGTTGGGAAGAACGAGCTCGATAATGACGGCGTCGATGAGGGAACGATGTGCAGCCATGACGCTGGCAGGATCGATGGCGGAAAATGTCTTATTCTTGTTGCCACCACTAAATAGCCCACCAAGCTCGTCTTGGGTGTCGTTCAGTCTTTGTGATAGCGTAGATTGAGGAGTACCTACTAGATCCGACAACGGCAACACTGAGCTCTTGCTGGGCCAAATTACAGAGCATATCAATGGTGTCGAGTACAACAAGGTATGCATCCCGCGCAACAGAGTTTCCTTTGAGATAGTTTCGGACATTGGAATCGGAGAGTCCGCCTTCCTTGAGACTCGCGAGAACATTGGAGACAATTTTCCAAGAGGCAGCAAGAAGATATACATTATGCACTCTGATAAATTCAATCGTCGAAACCACAGATTGAATGGAAAGAGGACGTCAGAAATGCCGCTCTCCGTCACTTTGGTAAAAAATCAGACAAACCTGGAAGAAATAGTCTTTGCAAGAAAAGGTGCAGTGAGGAGATCCGGTTTAAGCTTGGGACGTGACGCGATGAGGCTGCTAATGTCCTCGTAGAAAAAGTCGGGATCATGCAGATCCGAGATGAGGTCGAGGGCTTCTGCCATTTCAGCTTGGGCCGACTTTATCAACTCGTTGAGACGAAATGGAGGGCTGACGGCCGTCCGTAGCTCCGCTGTTGAAGAAAGTGCAAGACGCTCAGCTCGATTTGCCACTCTCTAGCATATATACGTTACCTGCTTTGAGAGCGAGCTTTTCTTGTCCACTTAGCTTGATAAACTTCCCGACTTGACCCTCGCCCCAGACACCATGTCGACCGTGTCGTAAAACAATGGCTTTCGAAGTCGTGTTGGCTTCAGGTCGGCGCTGCTTAGATGGAACTACTGATCTAGAAGTATCCTCTCCCGCTGCATTTCGCTTCGCGCGCGGGATCAGAGCACTTGTCGCCGCTTTGGGTGGCATGGGACCAAGCTAGAAAGAGACTGAGAGCCGCCAACCACACGCCACCATTCAGATTCCAGACCTTTATATCAAGGATCAGATCGACAATAAATCCAGAAGAACTACCTCCAATGCCTAGCATGTATGGTTTCTGACGAATGATTCCAACGGATTGAGTTACCATCGCACATCAGAATAGTCCCTATCCAATTCAGTCAGCATTCTATAGGCAGTGGATGAATTTACCCCATAGTCGTACAGGAAGTAATGCCGGATTTCTATTGAGCAATATAGGCCAGTATTATCCAAGGAAAACGACAAGCATATCGTGCTAACTTAACTTTTGGCCTCGAAAGGTACCCTTTTTATGCCTTTCTATGACTCGCTTTCATTGCAATTAAACTATAGTAGGAAGAGACTTCGCATACTACAATACAAGTAAACAGATATATTCAGTTACCATCATCTACTTTGGATCCATCAGAATATACTAGTCAAATTACCGTGTGAAGGGTCCAGAACATCGAGATTCGGATGGAACCTGACCTCGTTTCTAAATATAACGATTTCTCACGGGTTTGTGCCGCATCAGGCTGGTATGTCAATACAAACGGCACACTGACCCCGCCATTTCTGACGTGGTAAGTCGCCTCACATAACTCCTCTATCGACTGGAGTAGTCTTGTTCCATGCTACTTCTCTTGCTTTCGTACTTCCTCATGCGAGGTCTTGGAGGCGAGGCCAATCCAACCTCCGCGCCTCTTGAGCCACGAGATATCGGCTCCAGAGGTGGGACAAGTAACCAAAGGGAGTTATGGAGCATAATATAGAGCTGGCTCTCTACTATATTCCTATGTACCTGGGTGGCCACTCACCCCAATGTCCATTTCCGACCAGAAAAGCAGGATCAAACTTGGTCGCAAAAAATGGATATGGGACCCACTTCACGAAGTCGCAACATATAAGATGATACTTTTTTTCTGGGCACTGCTCGTTCCCGAGTATATTCTCGCATGGGCAGTCCGGCAGTACCTCCAGGCTGGCGTGATTAGCAAACAAGGTGCATTTCTAACCCTCACCTACGAACGTGTGTTGACGTTCAATAGTTCCAGGATGTACTAGGACGCATGGGTTTTTCATGATCATGGGTGGCTTCCACCTCTATCATCTACCACCTGATACGCCGTCCGTCCCATTGACACTCAAGTCAACAGAACCCTCCGGTTTCATTATTCCGACCGGATATTATTCGTGCGTGGAGGAAGTTCCTGTGTGTCCACTGCAAATAAACGACGTACCAGCCGAGATACTCGAGTTCGTTTCTCCCAACGAGACACAACTCAAAGACAGAGGAAAAAGTGATGCGCTGACCAAGTTCATCATCTTGATTCAGACGCTTTGGTTTGTTATTCAGTGCATCGCTCGAGGCTCTCAGCGACTTCCTTTGACGGAACTCGAAGTCGTCACCCTAGCGTACGCAATATTAAACCTTTTCATTTATGCGTTTTGGTGGGCCAAGCCACGCAATGTCGAGTGCCCTATTCGTCTTTACAAGCTACCGTCATCCGATCATGAAGAGCCGGAACCAAAAACCGAGGGGCGTCGCAGACTCGAGGAGCATCGCGCATACCGGGCTTTAGTATGGCTCGTCAAATTATTTGGGTATACTGTCGGATCTCAGGATCAACTTGTCACCATCTCTGCACAACGCTCAATCCCCATGTTCTGGTCGGGGCAATTAAACTCCAGCCTTACAAGTATGGCTGGATTCGGACCATCGGTTCTTGGAGCTGTATTCGGAGCTATCCACTGTATTGTTTGGTCATCAGAGTTTCCTTCTAACGCCGAACTCGTCACCTGGCGCATTTCTTGCGTAGCTATGATCGTAGTCCCATTGCTCGTCGCCGCAGTTTGCGCTGTTGCGATCATAGCCATCAGACGTCCGGACGAGGAAGAGACTCCCGTGTGGACAGCGGTTATTGGGGCCGTATTTTACCTTTCTTTAGCACTCACTGCCTGGGTCTATGTGGCCAGTCGAATCGCCACCTTGATAATCACATTCACCACTCTCAGATCGCTTTCCCCAGCCGCGTTGACTACTGTAGATTGGACTACCTTTATTCCCCACCTTTGAAAATCCCTTTCTTTCATTTGTCTCCCGGTTGATGTTCTCTGGACCTGTACATATGGGCTAACTGTGATTGTTCGTTCATTTTGTTTGCACTTGCGGCCTGTTGTCATGATCCAAAACCTGACATAAAGTATAAGGAGTGTATAGATTACTTCCATAAACAGAAGAAAGTCCGGCTACTTGTGGTTAAATATTGCACCTAAGTGAATCTTTGCGGCCTCTTGGTTTAGTGGAGAGAACGCCTTCATATCTTGGGGAGGAGGTCCGAGGTTCGATTCCTCGAGAGGCTATTATTTTCTTGGCTGGCGCTTTACGCTAGGATGAAACCATAGATTTTGGACGATGCTTTCATTTTCTACCTACTTCCTCGATAGAGGCATGATAAGGTCGTGTTTATGCAAAACGAATCGATGAAGGGCAACACAGTGCTCTGTTTCGTGGTTCGGCCTCTCGGTTCAGTGGCAAGAGCACCTTCATTTTGAGGGAAGGAGGGCTGGGGTTCGATTCCTCGAGAGGCTATTTTACTTACTAGCGAATTTAAATGAATGCAGCGGTTTGTACCGTCCTTTCATTTTGGCACTCGGGGCGTCGGTGAGCGAACGGCAAAGATGGGGGCTCGTTAAAGTGTGGGATACCATTGACCTGAGGTATTACAAGCCTTATATTCACCTTACCTGTCACATACATAACTAAAGAGTTAAAATGTGAGTGGCTGGATGACCTTCTCGGCCCCTTAGCTCAGTGGCAAGAGCATCTCCATTCCTTGGGGGCAAGTTCCGAGGTTCGGTTCCTCGAGGGGCCACTTGCTTTCCAGGTTTCATGTCTGGAAGCGTAGCGGTTGTTGCCACTTTTTGCCACCGAGGGTCATGTGAACAGTCTTGAGGCATTTTTTATGATAGAAACGGGATTTTAGATGCACTAAACCTCATATAAATATGTGTTTACATTGTGCACTGACGTTGTAGAACACTTAAGCAGGCGATGCGATGGTATGACCGGCATGCTGGTACGATGCTCAGTGCCAAAGACAATTACGTCATAGATATCGTCTCACTCATGTCCACCTGTGCTGTGATTCAGCAACAATGGCTGGTTCTTCGACTGTGGGTGCCGCTAGTGCCACCCTATTCAGAGCGCCGTCAGACGCGCGCGCAATTGTTCTGTGTGCGTGGTGTACACTAGTGTTTTTTTACATTGCTCGTGAATGTGTTGTTTTAGTTCAAGTCAGAATCTGCGGCACCGTACGTGTGTACACCTCGTGGCTTCTTGCCTCAGTGGTAACCCACCTTTATTGCAATCAATTATAGGTAATAATAGTCTTGTTGACGTGCATGTGGCTAGCTCACGACGGGGTAATAAAGGGCGCCCGCGCCTGGTGGTTGCAAGTTCGACAATGAATTGCGGGCATGCCGGAGGTTGGTCAAACGACGAAAACAGCTGAAGCAGAGCTGAAACTACCTCACGATACGTGTATTTTTGGACTGATTTCAAGTCGACTTATACGTTCCGCTCCGCTGCCGCCGTCGCTGATGCATGTCGCGTCGACGTGAATGGTTTCGAGCCTTGTTGTATTTTGAATGATAAATTAAAGAAGTCAACAAGAAAAGACCGATCGGGGAGATGCCGATGTCAGGGTGGGTCCCAGGTTGCCTACCTACCAAGAAAGCGGCGGGCCTAAAATGGGCAACAACAAAGCAACGGCTAACGTCGATCGTTGCCGTCGCCTTGCCTTCCTTTAGTCGACGCCTTTGCCCGCCGCCTAGTTCGTGAGTGCCTTTTCACATCTTGGACTCCAACCACGACGACCTTTGTCCGGTCCTCTTTTCTTTAAAACCTTCCTTTCCTTTCCTTTCCTCACATTCCTTCTCAGACTCGCCGGTCGAGAGAAATCGGACTAGATTTTTTCAACTTCCAAACGGCAGGGGTCGTCTGACACATCCATATTTTTCAACCTTCA